AAAAAGTGCGCATGACGCCTTTGGACAGGCTAATCTTCGAGAAGAACTACAAGGAGAAGAGAACAGGACCTGATGGATGCGTGTATGTGTGTGAATGTAAGAACGCAGCCTGCGAAAATGGGTGTGAAGAAATCAAATGTGTAGATAAAACGAAGTTAAATGACCTGTACCAACAATAAAGATTGCTTAATTATGATTGATGCTTGAAATGAATTTGTAAAATTGTATTTCACAGGTTAAAGTACCAAATAAACACAAAAAATTTATCGTTTTATCGGTGGCTACATACGTTTGCAAAAATGCAATGCAGTGAAAAATATAAACACCAATTTTTAAACTTTACAATAGTACAGAATGTGCTATAAAGTTTGATTTCTTCAATCGATTAGTCTGTACCTGACAAGTTTGTGCTTGTATTTTATGATACGAAGTCGAATTTACAAAGAATTTGATGTTGAATTTTGGAGCATGGCTTTCATCGGTGAAAGAATGATATAGTAGGGGATTATGCAACGCAAAACACCACTGCTAGCTCGATTGATAAATAACCATCAATAACACTCATCAAGTAGATATTCTGTCAGCTGAAAATGCCTATGATCTCAGCAAAGGCACAAGTCGAACTCAAAATATGTGTCTGTTGTTTAAAAATGTTTTCCGATTTTTACTTTTAAGGTTGATAGAATAGGCACAGGACGGTATGAGTCGCTTAGAAGATATTATTATATCAAACTATATTTACTTATTCATCTAGAAGATTTTGTACGAACCCCCAAAACTTGACTTTCCTATTGCTCAACTCGTTTTTATCCTTTGTCGTTCCTGTTTTTAAGGCGCCGCTTACGAAAACGGCCGGGCTCTGGTCATTTTCCTTCCCCGAATCATTTTTAATCTCATCTTCTGGTATTTTTTTGAGGAAGTTGAAAACATCTAGCATTCCATGTTCTTCTTCGTTCGTTGTTAGTTTACTTTTTTTGGTAGGATGTTTCTCCTCATCCTTAATCTTGTCTTTCTTTCCGCTCTTATTTTCTTTATTTTTTTCGTCACTGGAGCCTTTTTTATCTTTCTTATCTTTTTTTTCCTTTATATCATTTTTGCTTTTTGTAGAAGGTAAATTCAGGGATAGCACATATTTGGGAGGTTTGGGTACGACTGGTAAAACGCTTACAGTACCAATGCTACATGAGGCCAATTTTGACGATATCTTGGCAATTTCTGAGCTCATATTAAACGTTAAGCCCTCACCTTGTTTTGACAGATACCCTTCAATTGCTTTCGTAGTGTCTGCTTCATCTTGTCCAAATTTCTTGTCGAGTGAGGATATCACGGTCGAGGTAATTTCGGAAACTGAGGGCAATGCTGAGATAGATTGACGAATATATTGGCGCTTTGTTATTGTGTAGATCAAAGAAATGGTCTTGGTGGCTTTTTCCATATCTTTGGAGGTACTGGTGCTTGTTTCTTTGTCTTTGCTCACTGTCACTTTTATTGGCTTAGAGGTTGATGTTTTGTCATCATCATCTTTCTTTTCTTTGCCCTTCTTCTTCTCTTTGTCGTCTTTCTTTTCCTCTTTGTCCTTCTTCTCTTCTTTGTCGTCTTTCTTTTCTTTCTTCTTCTTCTCTTCTTTGTCGTCTTTCTTTTCTTTCTCCTTCTTCTCCTCTTTGTCGTCCTTCTTTTCTTTCTCCTTCTTCTCCTCTTTGTCGTCCTTCTTCTCTTTCTTCTTTTCTTTATCCTTCTTGTCTTCTTTCATTTCTTTTTCCTCTTTCTCCTCTTTCTTTTCCTTCTTCTTCTTTTTGTCCTTCATTTCATCCTCCTCTTCTTTTTCCTTCTCTTTCCTCTTCTTTTCCTTATTCTTCTTGTCTTCTTTCATTTCCTTTTCCTCCTTCTCCTCTTTCTTTTCCTTCTTCTTTTTTTCGTCCTTCTTGTCTTCTTTCATTTCCTTTTCCTCCTTCTCTTCTTTCTTTTCTTTCTCTTTCTTCTTTTCTTTTTTCTCCTTCATCTCATCGTCTTCTTCTTTTCCTTCTCTTTCTTCTTCTTTTCTTTATCCTTCTTATCTTCCTTTGTCGCCTTTTCCTCTTTATCTTCATCCTCTGTTGTTTTAGATTTCTTTCCCTTCTTCTTTTCTTCTTCCTTATCACCTTTATCTTCCTTATCACCCCTTTCCTTCTTATCACTTTTGTCTTCCTTATCACTTTTATCTTCTTTCTCACGTCTATCTCTCTTTTTGTCCTTGTCTTTCTTACCCTCTTTCTCTTCTTTCTTACCCTCTTTCTCTTCTTTTACCTCTTTCTTCTTAGAATCTTTCTTTTCCGTTTTCTCGGGTTTCTCCGCCCATTCAATGCTCTTGCTAATCGTGCTGGTGGATGCCCCGATAGAACCAAGGTTAAACAGATCACCAAAGCTTCCGATCGTTTTAACCTTCTCTATTCCCGGGCTAGTGTACATTTGGGACATACTCTTGGTATTAATCGTAGGAATCACCATTGACGAAGTAATAGGGATTACAGATTGAATAACTGTCATTGTTTGTACTTTTATAAGAACACTTTCAGGCCCATGGTCACCCAGAATTACTGTCCAGTAGCTGTTGCTCTTCTTGCTCTTTTTGTTTCCGAAGAGCTCAGATTCATTCTTGATATCTTTGCAGTCTTCACCGTTGCATAACAACTTATTGACAACATCTCCGGACTTGTTGCCCTGATCCATCACCTCGACCTTATTGACATCATTTTTCTCATTTAACGTGTTCAATATCTGATCCACCAATGTGTTCTGATCAACATTACCCTGTAAATTACGCAGAATCTTTCTTATACTCTTTCCATTTTCTTTAGAGTCGCCATCTTTAATAACAATTTCAAGTATTGTGTCGTTGTTGAGTGCTGAGCTAGATTCTTGCTGAATGGTTGTGGACGATGCAGTTGATGAGACGCTACTGAGTTGCACGGATGAGCTGATGCTTTTCTTCTTTTTGAGGTTGTTCTCGTATTCAGGGCTGAAAATGTCGATTTGTTCAAGGTCCTTGATTAATTGCATGGGCGGTGGCTGGGCAGCTTGTGTGGTTTGCTCAGCCTCTGTCTGCATTGAGGATGATGACATGCTGCTTGATGACGACTGCGCCTGCTCTGGAGTCTTCTGAGCTTGTTCTTTCTGTGGTGGAACTGGCATTGGTGGTTTTTTGTCCTTGTTTTGTTCCGGTGGCTTTTTGTCCTTGTCTTGTTCCGGTGGCTTTTTGTCCTTGTCTTGTTCCGGTGGCTTCTTGTTTTTGTCTGGAGGGTTACCTCCGGGAGCCTGTGGTTTCTTATCTTGAGGATTACCACCAGGCGGATTACCTCCTTTATTATTACCCGGTGGATGACCCTTTTGTTGGTCAGGCTTTTCAGGTTGCTGTTTACCACCAGGCGGTTGTGCACCTCCCTTCTGTTTGTTCTTTTCTTTGTTGGCCTGTTGATTAGCGGATTGACCAGCCTGCTGCATTATGTCTTTAGCCTTGTCTTCAGGTTTTTTACCTTGATCAGCACCCGGGGGCTGTCCGCCTGGACCGTTCTGTGGTGGAGGTTGAGCTTGTTGGCCTTCAGCTAATTTGTTTTCATCGGCTTTGGAAGAACCATCCGCATCATTTTCTGATTTGAGCTTTTGAGTATCATTTTCATCAGTGAAGAGAGCTTGGTTCTTCTTTCCAGCATCGGAGTCTGAGGATTTGTTTTGTTTCTCATCATCATCGTCCTTGTTGGAGGAGGATTTCTTTTCTTCGCCAATGTTTACGAGCTTATCTATGATGCTAGGTTTTGACTTGTCATTATTCTTATCCTTGGGACTTTTTTCATCGTCTTTTGTCTCTTTTCCATCTTTTTTGCCAGCAGAACTCGATCCTTCGGCACTCTGTTTTTTTGTTCCATCAGATCCAGCCTTTTGTCCCTCAATACTTTGTTCGCTCTCTGACTCTTTTGTCATGGCTTTGTCCGCATCCTTTTCCATTTTTTTATCACCACTTGCATTGTCATTTGAGTCTGATTTTTCTGGCGTGTACGGTTTCTTTACTATTTCAATATGAAAGGTCGTTTTGCTATTATCCGTTCCCTCACCCGATGAACCACTACCCGAGCTGTCTTGTCCGGCACCCTTACTCACTACCAAATTCTTATCATCACCACTCGTACCCGTAGTCGCTTCCTGTTTCATTTTCTTTTCCGAACCACTGAATTTCTGCTTTTTAACGTCACCCTCACCCGTTGCTTCACCGCTGGATTCCTGCTTTTTAACGTCACCCTCACCCGTTGCCTCACCGCTGGATTCCTGCTTTTTAACGTCACCCTCACCCGTCGCACCACCACTTTTCTCTTTATCCTTATCCTTTTTCGTACCATCTTTTTTTGCACCATCTCTCATCTTCTTTTCGCACTTTTTCTTTTCTTCCTCATCAGTTATCTCTTCACACTTTGCTCTATCTCTCATCTTCTTTTCGCACTTTTTCTTTTCTTCCTCATCAGTTATCTCTTCACACTTTACCTTGTCTGTCTTACTACGCGTATCCTGTCCACTTCCCTTTCCATCCTTTGCCTTTTCAACTCCTACTACGCTCGCCTCAGTTTGCTCGTCCCCGAATAGACTCTCAATCGCTTCAGGTTCGAGTATGTCCTTTGCTAGCATTAAGCACAAATACATGGTTAGAATGTGTTTCATTGGTTTGTTTGTGTTTTTACAGTGTTCTTTTCATTTTAAAGCCAAGCTGAAACAAAACTGTGATAGTTGATCTGATTCTCTGTCTCATAAACAAAATGCAAGAAACACATTAAAATGAAGTTCTATATTCAGTTGCCTAGTAGTGAGTCAAATCTGCAAGATTTGTTGAGAAAAATTATATTGGCTGCTATCTTATGGACATAATACCGCGAATTGATTCCTATATTAGTTGAGGCATTGAAAATAAACAAACAACACACAATACTAACAGCAAAAAACCGTGTTAACTATTTGTGATTCGTGGTTTTTCTTGGTTTGCTATTACAAAGAATATGAAAAGCTTACAATTCGCTATTAATCACAAAATTATTCTGCAAATGAATTATTTTTAGCCGTTTTGCAACAACTATATACTAACTAGCTGTGCACATTAATTTCTGCGCTCCAAATGTTTATTCAGTCTTACTTATCAGTTGTATCTGTTTCATTGCAAATATTACCTTAACGGAATAATATTTCATTGTATTAATGTATAATTGACCAATAAACAAATGTTTATTTGTTAAACCCGCTTTTGAAACATAGGTCAAACCTATTTACACTCAATTTCATACACGAACTCTGATACTTACCCTTCAAAAACAATATTTTTATTTGGTTATCCCGGCTTATAAAACGCCTCAATGACTAATCGTATCATTAAATGGTAGTTGAGACCACAGACGCTCTCACACTTGTTTTAGTCTACAAAAAATGAATTCCAGTCTAAATCCGGTATTGATGGTGAATTAGTGCTGTTACCAACACTATAACGAAAGAATGAGTGGAAAGTTAAATTCTTGAATAAAACATCTTGTTTTATACTATTTGTAAGGAAATAATTATAAAGCATAGCGTACTTTATTGTATGCTTAGGTTTAAAAACGAATGAAATCAGCATATACTGTTTTCACTGGTTGAATGATATTCTCCTAAAAATATTACCGAAAAAGATATTCCAAAATTTACATCAACATATAGCACAACAATATATTTCACTGTTACTCGTCATTTGAATATGTTATCAGGTAGGATATAACAGATCATTGTGGAAAATCGCTGACAACTCAAGGCATCATTTCAAGATGCATCATACCAACACATTTAATCGTGGCTCGATATGAAGATAAATTCAATTTATAATCCGATCAGTCACAGAAAAAACGATGACTAACCCAAGAAGCTTTAAAATGCACTTTAACCTACAAAAATTTCATGCATTGAACAGTAACCGTAAGTGGTATATGAGATAAATACCATGTACCTGCACCAGGAATATTATCGACAGGTATTATTGAGAAAATGGTTTGTATTTACGAAGCTTCAGTGTTATTATGTACACTCAATTTGTCTTTGTTATTTTGTGTATTTTCGTTTACTATCTGCACTTGTTATTTAGACTGACGATGTTAACACCTATTGACCAACAGGTAAATAATTGATGTTCTGTTAATTATATCTATTGAAACTCTGAGAACACGGATGTTTTTGATCTAATTCTGTGATAATGAGATTGTGCTCTCCAGCACAGCTATATATGCTTTATGTGGTTACCGAAAATGTATTTCTTTTCTTGTGATCGTTTCTTATTCCAATATTTGGTTTGCAACAGATTGTTTGTTCTCTTGATTTGCCATGTCGAGAGTAAATACCATCCACTTTTCTCTCGTAAGTGGCATTGTATGAAGGCCTCTTCGATTGGAACAAATTATAATACATTAAGTGCTGCATATGCCATTACAAGATGACAGTATACAAACTCTGAATTAATGAAAACATTTATTGATAGTAATATACGTCCCGTATTTTTATTCATTCTTTCTTCTTGTTCATTATCGGTCCATACCTATTCGCACCACATCGTAATATAGTGCTCATTCCTCCTTTGTTAGTGCATTTTCGTAGAGTTCATCAATCTCATCTGTCATCTCTCCACCAAAATTAGGATATCCCTGCACGTTCTCAACTATTTCTGTTTTTGAATTGATTCTATCTATTTCACTTATCCGATCCTTCACACAAATAATCTCTTTTGTATTGTCTTTGGTCAGCGGCGAGCTATCAAAAGCTGATTCCTGCTCTGCAAAACTGGCAGTGTACTCGTTCTGCCAATGCTCTTTCAATTTCAGTTCATTGCTGTATTTTCTCCTGTCCTCTCGTGAACCATCAGCATCATTTGCAGTTGCTTTCTTCTCATAAAAAGCAATTAGATCCTTTATTGACATTGTTTCCTACACCTTTTTTTCCTTTTATATTTTAAATTGTTTGTGTTGATATGATTGTTTCAGAGTGTTTATTGATCGTTTTGTTAGAAAACATTTAGAGCGTGTGAATAAACGGCAGTTTCTATTGAGTTTTTATTTCTGGCGTAATTTATTCTTAACTAACACTTATACCGTGTAACAGCACGTGGTGCAGAAATAAAACAATTTTAATGAACACTACCAGCAAAGATCATGGGGTAGAGCACATTTTTGCATGGTGTTGACATGAAGGGCAATAATTTTGACAATTATGTGCAAAAACACAGCTTGATAGTTACCCTCCAATTTTATGAAACTTTTTTTGGTTCTTCTCTCCGCATTTTGCCTAGAAAAACACTTCGTAATTTCAAGCGAAGTGAAGGTTGAACAAAAAGTGGTGCATTCATCCCCATTATTATCGTATCTGGAGGTTAGATCCACCATTGACGGTGAACACCATCTGTACCTGAAATTTTCGCCTCACATAATGCCACGACTACAGGCACTTGACCAACAGGGTCTCAGTTTCACATTTTTCGAAAAAGAAAATATCATCAGAATCACATGCAACGGTCCATTGGTTTTCACACTGCCCATTTATAAAGTTTTGTCACGGGTCTTTTCCTATCTCGCCAATATTGACAGAAGCGTACTATTGATTTGCCCGATTGCCGTGAAAAAGACACGAAGCAGTACGGTGGAAAAACACGTCATATTTACTGGAAATGAATGTGCTGATCTTCCACTGATACCCGACTTTTCCTTTCCATTTAAAGCATTCAGCCTGTGTGGTATTATTCTTTTTTTCACCTTGAATTTCTGTGTAACTGAGTTCTGTAATTAAAAATGTTATTTTGCGCACACTTAGAAAGCTATTCGTTTTATCTGCGCATCGGTTAATTTGTAGATTTACCAACAATATTTTGATTATTTGATGTGCAAGCAGACCTATGTTGATTACGTAATTTGATGGTGGAAGTGCAATAAACACAGCGGGCAATTACTCTGCATTCAATAGTGTTGGCTAAAACTAAAAATTAAGTTGAGCAAGGACTATGCAGGAGATGAAAAGAGAATTTTCACGCATCTCTACGCTGCTTAAGAGCTCTTCCAGTTCACCATACCTGATTATGTACTTGCTGTGCAAATATTTTAACAAAGTTATTCTGGTCTGTGCTTTGATCGGTAGGTCCACATTGCTGAGCTTTCGCAACATGACTCGCAAAACCGCGCGAAATTGGATATAGCTTGCCGCAGTAAATCTTAACAATATTCATACATGTATGAGTTGTTAATTACGCCTACTTTGCTTTAATTGCGTATCAGCCATATGATCTGTTAAACGCCTGATAGAAAGAAATAACCGGGTAAATCAGTGGTTCACTTCTGATGCATCCTTTTCCGAATGGTATCATGAACATGTGTTTTATAAAGTCATAAATTTAATTTGCTATAACCGCGTTAAATTCAAACTTCGGTTTATACTAACTGTTTCTACCGATCAACCGGTAAAAAACAATTTATCAGGCTAATAACAATCGTAATTACACAGATATTGAAATTTATACCGCTGCTGATGTTCGCTTCGACGTGGTTGTGAACTAAGACGAATATCACATGTGCTGGTACAAAAACTGTAGCAGATAGGATAGATGGCATTGTATCAAATATGTTTCACGGATCTTACACAAAAAATAACGAGCTCAGATCAAAATTAGCCTTGTGCTCGAACACTATATATTGATATAACCATGTATTTACTGACCAAGACCTGTAAATCGCGCCAACAGCGAATTAATGGTATCTATCTTTATATCAGATAGTTTCCTGTCAAGTAAATTCTCTTACAGTATTTTTTAAGCATGTGTTTTTACAATTTCTATTGAGAATAAATTAACGCTTCCAGCTACCGTAACGATGAACAAAATCGCATGCATCAATACTAAAATGGTTCAGTAGATTGAGTAACATTTTGTTGGTATTACAGGTCCCGTATATTTGCCAAATCATTTACACCGGTTCAGGAATACGTAAAAAGTTCTGTTTTCCACAACCGTTGAACAAGATTTAACTTATGATCGTGTATGATATTTGAGTCAGCGTGTGGATCCAGGATCTAGAGCTCTGTATGTGGTAGACAACACCAATATATCCGATTTATTGTTCTGTTCTGACCGGTTACAAGCATAGATTTAACTTTTTTTGCGTGTTTTATTGGTGTATCAACATTAATATGTCAGAACTGCCCCATCATGACTCGTTCGTTTTTAATTAAAAAAGTAAAAAGGGGCGCCCATAATGCGTGAGCTACCAGAAGAAAGAGAAAAGTCTCTTTATAAGAAAATACTTGAATCTGATATATTTCGGCGTTCCATTATAGTTTCCTTGTATGGCTTTATGTTGATGATTTCCGCGTTCTGTGCAATGGGTGCAAAAATAGAGAGTGGCAAGAATTTGAAGGACGTGATATGCGATATTTGGAGATGCTTTAAAGGTTAAATTGTGATTTAATGCAGAAATTATGTTTGTTACTAAATGTTATTCTATGTTTTATACAACAGTATTTACAGCTAAAAGGGTTGGCTTGCCGTTAGCATTATCTCAAGAGTGCGTGGAATGGTGTTTGGTAAATACCTGTGACACGAAGTGTTTGTGATAAGTCCGTCCGTTTTCTACTTCCATGGAACTTATCCTACAAAAAGGAGTGGAGAACCCAGGATTCGAACCCAGTACCTCTCGCACGCTAAGCGAGCGCTCTACCAAGTGAGCTAGTCCCCCGACCGGCGATGCGCAGCTGCAACATATTTATTTCTTTCCTTTCCGATCAATATTGGATAAACTGAATCAAAACATTGTTTCCATTTCCAATTCACTGCAAAGGCTAGTTTTTGTCAAAATAGGTGAATCAAAACACTGTTTCAACTTTTGAATTAATAACAAACAGTGGAAATGTAAATAAAGATGTTCTTCTTACATTTTCTGACCATTCAATCCATTTTTGAGAAGAGGGACGATGGCACGTTTGTAATGACACTCAAAGACATCGATGATGCCGGAGGAATTGATGGCTTACTCGGAAAGCTGAAAGAGAGTGGGCTTCTTGGCTTTGAGCTACCATCGAGGCATGAAACGAAAAAATCCGAGCTGTCAACGGGCGAGGCCGCAAAGAAAGACGGAAACGACAAAAGCGGATTGGCCGCTGTCGGAGCAGGCGGCAAAGAAGCAGGCGCGCAAAGCGGAGCTGAATCAAAACAATCAGAGAAGGCAGACAAACAGGCTAAAAGCCAAGAAAAGGATTCTCAGCGCAAGGGAAAGGCAGAACAGCAGGAGAAAAAGCAAGCTGATAAGAAAGAAGCCGAAGAGAAGAAGAAAAAGAAAACGGAAGAAAAGGCTGAAGATAAAAAAGAAAAGGAGAAAGCGAAAACAGAGCAAAAAGCAAAGAAGAAGGAGGAACAGAAGGAAAAGACTGAAGAGAAAAAGAAGGAGAAGGAAAAAGAAGCGGAGAAGAAGAAAGAAAAGGAAAAGGAAAGGAGCAAAAAGAAAGAAGAGGAGCAAGCGAAGAAGAAAGAGAAGAAAGAGAAACAGAAGGAAGAGGGAAAGGAAAAGGAGGAAAAAAGACAGAAGGAGAAAGAAAAGAAAGGCTCTGAAAAGAAGAAAGAAGGCGAGAAAAGACAGCAAAAAGACAAAGAAAAGAGCGAGAAGAGAGAGAAGGAGAAAGGCGAGAAAGAAAAGAAGCGGGAAACTAAAAAACCCGAGAAGGAGAGTAAAACAAAGGAAAAGACATCAGATCGTGAGTCTAAGAGCACAAGTACAGGAAAGAAGACCGATAAATCAACTGAAAGTGCAAAGAAAACCGCAGAAACCAAATCAGGAGGCGTGGAACCCACAGTTCAAAAATCTGAGGTTGGTAGCACAGAAAGTGCGAGCGCTTCGAAGAAAGCGTCAGAAACAGTTGCATCTGCGTCAATGTCAACATCAGCAGAGAAGTCTGTTGGTGCATCAAGTTCGGTTTCTGCATCAGTACAATCCTCCTCGGTCCAGGCCTCTTCATCAATGCCAATGTCATCGGAGATGTCCTCTGCGATGTCTTCAGAGATGTCCTCGTCGATGCCAATGTCATCAGAGATGTCCTCTGCGATGTCTTCAGAAATGTCCTCATCAATGCCGATGTCATCGGAGATGTCCTCTGCGATGTCTTCAGAAATGTCCTCATCAATGCCGATGTCATCGGAGATGTCCTCTGCGATGTCTTCAGAAATGTCCTCATCAATGCCGATGTCATCGGAGATGTCCTCTGCGATGTCTTCAGAATCAATACCGGCCTCAATTGCCTCATCTATACCATCTTCTGTTATTTCAAGTATGGCAAGCTCGATATCCGCCTCTACCAGCGAAGAACAACAGAAACAGACTTACCAAATATCTTTAATATCCAACAACATATCAAGCGAAGACGTACAAAAGCTTTTCAAAGAGTGTTCCGAGTGCAAAAAAGTGGACAAGGTTCTCGTGTTCTGGAACGGTCAATACTATTCAGACTTTTCAGGTTCTGTCAGGATGGAGAAGAAAGGAAATGACATTGCCGATAAATCCGGTCTATTTGGTGGTATGGATTGTGGCTGTAAGAAAGAAGAGATTCCGAGTAAAGGAACGAACAATGGATTGGGTGTGTATCAGGACAAGAGTGTGTCTGAAGAGGATTCTAAGGGAATGAAAATGAGTATCGATAAGTTGTGTGGACAAGTTGAACAGAATGGTGTTAAACCAGCTGTTCAATCTTCTGATATTGCTGGCGGTCAAGCAGCTGGTGCTGAAACACAGAAGCAACAAACGAACGAGGGTGGAGGCACACCTGCTGGAGGTGGTGCTGAAGGAGGTGGTGCTGAAGGAGGTGGTGCTGAGGGTGGTGGTGGAGGTGGTGGTGCTGGAGGTGCTGAAGGTGGGGCTGGTGGCGCTGAGGGTGGTGGTGGAGGTGCTGAAGGTGGTGGTGGAGGTGCTGAAGGAGGAGGAGCTGGTGGCGCTGAGGGAGGAGGTGGTGGTGCTGGTGGTGGTGCTGGTGGTGGTGCTGGTGGCGCTGAGGGAGGAGGTGGAGGTGCTGAAGGTGGTGGTGCTGAGGGTGGAGCTGGAGGTGCTGAAGGTGGTGGTGATGGTGCTGAAGGTGGTGGTGCTGGAGGTGCTGAAGGTGGTGCTGGAGGTGCTGAAGGTGGTGCTGGAGGTGCTGAAGGTGGTGGTGCTGGAGGTGCTGAAGGTGGAGAGGTGCTGAAGGTGGTGCTGAAGGTGGAGCTGGTGGTGCTGAAGGTGGAGCTGGAGGAGCTGAAGGTGGAGCTGGAGGAGCTGAAGGTGGAGCTGGTGGTGCTGAAGGTGGAGCTGGTGGTGCTGAAGGTGGAGGTGGTGGTGCTGAAGGTGGAGCTGGTGGCGCTGAAGGTGGAGCTGGAGGTGCTTCAGAGTCAAAAGCTTCAGAAGCAATGTCAGCTGGTCAACCCCAGAGTGCTGCTGCAGAGGCGGCACAACCAACACCAAGTCCACCACCTGCTGGCATTTCGCCGACAGTCAAGTTCGCAAGAAGACTTGAACCAATAATCATTTTACAGGACTACGATACATGCTCTGAGGCTGATTTCATGATATGCTGCGGAAAGGGCAATATTGCAAGACCCGGTCGCGTTGGTATATGCCGACCAGCGTGTGCAAAACGTTGCGCTTCACAGGAGAAAGTGACCATTAAGGTGCCTGAAACGGTGAAGCAAAAGGTGGTTGAGACGGTTACAAAGACGAAGACTGTAAACAAAATAGTCCGCGAAAGCCAATTCATAACGGTCTCCAAAACCGTTCCAGTCACAGAAAAAGTCACCGAAGTGAAGAGCAAAACACTAACAAATACCGTAACCGTTCCACGAACATTCTTCAAGTCTGTGACATTGACCAAGAACATCAGTGTGCCTTATACGGTGGAGAAAACCGAAACCAAGCTGCTAACGCTTTACCAGTCAAGAATAATCGAAAAGCCTGTCACCATTACAATATCACGTGTTGTGCTGAGCACTTTTACAAAAGAGAATCAGAACTTTAGTACTGTCAAGGAGGTTCGTTCTCAGTACGTGACAGTCACTACCACGACCGATAAGGTGGTTTACAGCGCTGTCAAGGACGAGCCAGCCATTACAATCAACAAAACGGTCTATATCCCCGAGTTAGAAGGGTTGGAATGTGTGCCTGATTGCGTGTGTGTTGATTTGGAATGTGTCAATCCTTGTAATACTGTTAAATGTGAGGAAAGAAACTAAATAGATATTTTAATTATTCTACCGTTCTAAGTGGCATACAGCACAGGCTGCGGTAATACGTTTCTCTGCAAATATTCCGTGAATCAAGGGTTTTCTTGCAGTATCCACCGAAAAGCACATTTCGTTAGCCGATTAGGATCTTTAATTCGTTTGATGCATGAAATTTACCATTTTTGACAGACATGGCTTGTAAAACAATAGATCTATAATTTTTACACATATGAGCACGGTTGTAACCCATTTTTAAGCAGTAAATATTTTGTTGCCGCATCAAACGCCTTCTACAGGAACATGTTGTCATGATACTATAGTCAAATAATGTGTCTCTCAGTCCTTTTTTTCCTAGAAATTACTTGATTTCGACTGCTTCACAGAAATTTCCACGGTTAAATTTGTTACCTAAAAATTGCGGTTATTTGACCGAGTCAAGTCTTCAGAAACACTATGCTTCGATCTATGATTGATCATCTACCGTTTTCATTTCCAAAATCGATTTGCTCCTTTTATGCGACGAATAATGCGGCTACTTCCTTGGAACAGTCTTAGGGTTCTCGTTTTGGTCCTATGAGTGCTCTGACGCGACAAAACAATCGACTAGAAAAACAAGTCCTAGCGTTTAATCACCATGAGTGAAAAATGAACTGAGACACCTCATTTGTTCATCAGCAAGTGATCTTATTTGTCTATTTGAGAGGATCTAAAAATAAAATAACACGAAGGCCAGGGAAATATGAAATTGACGGAGCACACTCGCACAAAAATAATCTGCACAATCGGACCGAAATGTAATTCTGAAAAGGCGTTGAAAGAATTGAAGATGAGCGGCATGGATATAGCACGGATTAACATGAGCCACGGGTTGTACGACGAGGTCCAGTTAACGGTCAACAACATAGTAAAAATACGGGGAGATGATACTTTTCCCTTGCTCGCGTTCGATACACGAGGACCAGAAATACGTGTGAAAATTGAAAAGCCGATCGAGATCAAAGAGGGCGAGCGAGTCGTTCTTTCAGGATTGAATGGAAACGGAAAGATTAAAATTAATTTGGACAGGCTCGACAAAATTAAAAAAGGAATGGATGTGCTGGTAGATGACGGTAATCTGAGAATGGTGGTTGATCGGGATGGCGATGAAGTGGTGTGTGTGGCTGCAAACAGTTACATAGTGAAACCTGGCAAGGCAATGAACATCCCCGATATGAAAATGGACGAGGGCGTGCCAACCGAAAAGGATAAAAATGATATTTTTCTGGGATTGAAAAACAAAGTGGACTACGTTTTCTTATCATTCATAAGCAACGCAGCAGAAATTCGTAAGGTTAGGGATTTTATTCGCGATATGAACGGGCATATGCCTGTGTTGATTGCCAAAATCGAGAACAAGGAAGCGATCAGAAATATCAACGAAATAATCAAGGAAGCGGACGGTATTATGGTGGCGAGAGGAGATCTTGCGGTGGAGATCGGGATGGGACACTGTTTTAGTGCACAAAAAATGATTACGAAAAAGTGTCTACTCATGAAGAAGCCGTTCATAATGGCGACACAGATGCTTGAAAGTATGACGGAAGCGAGCACACCAACACGTGCTGAAGTGAGCGATGTGGGCAACGCTGTGCTTGATAGTTGCGACTGCGTCATGCTGAGCGGTGAAACCGCAACGGGACGACATCCTGCCCACGTAGTGAGAACCATGAAGACCATAGTGAGGGATGCTGAGTTCTTTAAGTACGGTGAACGGAAGGAGAAGTCACGAGCGATGCTGATATTCATGCATCACTATAGTGATCACGTGGTTGAGCTGAAGTATTCTTACAAAGCACCAGTGGTCATTATCAGCAAGGATGAGTACGTTCTGCGGCAGGTTGGTCACCATGCCGGTTTCTTTTGTTTCAGAATGAAGAGCGATGAACACTACGAGCAGACGATAAAGCGGGTGAAAAAATCGTATGGAATCGATGAGTATGAGTGGATCATCGTAGGAGATGAAAGAAATAACGTAAATTAAATACTTCGCAGTTTAGGAATTCATAGCGAGCTAATGAAAGCTTCACACGCTTGTGTTAACAAACATATTTTAGTGGTTTAGCATCGCTAGGATGATCACGTGAAAAAGCCACCTTTTATTTCGTATTCTCTCTAATTTTTAATTATTTGTAACGATGTTTGAAGAGTGCTCAATCTCCTATTTAATAGTAATTCAATATGAAAAATTAATAAATGACTCTTAAGTAAAAAACTAGCAATTCAATATCCCTGTTCTCGTAGTGTTGAGGCATCAGAAAAACTTTTGCAATTTGATTCATAAAGCGACAAATCGGACCCCTTATTCGTAAAAGGGTGCGTTTATTCGTTCCCACGTGTAAAAAACCGCGGTAGCAAAAGAAATGTTTTCGTTTTCTTCGCGTGATAAAAGCGTGAGGTGTTCTATTTGGTGCTAAATTAACTAAAATTTATTCGTTTTTGGTAATAATTTGAAGTAGTAAAATGGATAGATTAACAAGCGTATTTAAATAGGTAAAAAGGCGATACTATGAAATATTTTAAGTTCGGTAACAATCTTCTCCATTTGAATGTGGTCGCTGTTGTTCTCTTGGTAATTTCTTCTACAGTAATTATTTTTCTGGAAAGCCATAGCAAAATGCCGATAGAGCTGAACGTGTTCATGCGAAAAAACAGGAACTATTACCTGAAGAAGAACGCAAAGGAAATAAAGAACGAGCTTTATAGCAAGGGAAAGATAAGAATCAAATTGGCAGAGACAGAAAAAAAGTACAACTTAGACTTCTACAAAGACAGGGATGTGAACGGAACGATATATTTGATAAAGAGTGGAAACGATATAGTAATGGTCTGCACAGCGGTGGACTACATGCAATCGATAGACAGCGGGCGGTTGTTAGACTATTATATGAAGAGCTCAGGCTATCTTAATGTGAGAATCGAAAGGGCATCCCTGTGCAGGCGAATGAACGATCTCATGAATGATATACTTCAGGACAGACATGAGGGTGATATACCGACGAGTGGCATGGTTATTCATGACGAAAAGCTAGGACTCGCATTATTTTTTTGTGTTAATTCGTGGACAGTAAAGGTGAGCTCACAAGAAAGCCTGCATCAAAGCCTTCTTTTTAATGAGACGGCCGGATAATCCTAAATAAGCGTGTAGGGTGTATTGGTGTTAAATAAAAATTGACGATGAATATTAGAATTGCTGCTCTTAACGTTTAAGAAAGTCTTCTCCTCAGTAAATACCAAGCACAATGTTATCCGAGAAAGAGTGTGATGAATGGCAGCCTTGGAAGCAAACTAGTGACGAGATTTGACAATAGTAAGTGATTAAAATGACACATATAAGATAAAACAAGCAAAATGATCCTGATTTATGGATAAGATGGCAGGAATTCAGCGAGTTAATTACTTTTATACTTTGTGTATGGATTAAGGTTTGTTTAAGTGTATGATACTTGGACTTTGTTCCTTGGGATTAAACAACCGCTAGGTTTGCATGTTGCTGCTGTACAAGGTAATAAACACATGGCCATTGCTAAAGAAGCTATTATTTAGGCAGAAAGCGTTTTTATTGACGAATCAGCTCTGGTTTACAAGGACCATAACTGATATAATCGAGTAAATGACATTCTCGCGGGCAATATTTTTAGCACACACCGCTAATGAAAGATGACGATGTATTGTTTCGTAGAGGAGACCTTCGCATATCGCTCTGCCATTTTACAATTTTATGAACAACATGACCAGTAGATATGACTGAGATAGGGCTATTCAAAGAGAAATGATTGGTAGCGTATGAAAAATAAGCATGAGCAGACGGCATACTGAAAATAGTGGCCGCGCTGAATTATGCTACACGCCTAAAACATGGGTAAGACCCCTCAATATGCTTTTTGTACAGTGCGATCGATTATTGCGGCGTATTGTTGAAGCATTCTAAGCGCCAAACTCGGTTATAGGGTATTCCCTACAGCACAGAACCACCATTCTCACGGTGACAGTCCAATACAAAAGTACAGGTGCAGCCCGGATTCGAACCGGAGACCGCTGGATCTGCAATCCAAAGCTCTACCACTGAGCTACTACACCTTGGCCAACCGAGCAGATTGAGCATTTATTGTTGAAGAGAGGACAGAAAAGTGTTGGAAATGTTTTCTCAACCGTATCGCTACAGCAAGCTCGACTAATCTGAACTATGCAAACATACTGGTGTTGTTATCGAAAGATTAAATTGTCTAATGTTGGCATGAAAGTGCTATTTTTCAACAATTATTCTGGTTCATTTAAGTAGATGGGTCTGTGATAGAAATCTGCCCATTTCATCTATTTTAGTGTATTTAAAACATGATAATATCAGCATATGCTAACATATCAAGTGTTCATTCCTATTTCTTAACAGGCTATGTGCTGAATTATAAATGGGTGATATTTCTACTTTTATACCACTACCAAAGTACTGTCTTATTCCCATGTACGGCCCTAAATCAAATAAGCCCACCGATCGTGATACATTCAAATGTTTACTTGCCCTGCTGAATATCACACATGATCCTGGAAATACTTCAACGGAACTAAATGTTATTTCCTCTATGATTGGATCAACATTTACAGTTTCTTCGACTTTGATATCTTTTAATATCAGTTGCTTTTGACCAGTGTTCTTATTTTTTATGAATTCTAAACACGAATTAAACTCTTATCCAGTCTGAGTTGTGTGAAAGCCTGGTAGCGTAACTCTGACCGGTGTGTTTTCTATCGTAACACCCCCGTGTTTTTTGTCGAATATCAAAATTGAATTTTCATCTAACTCACACCATTTTACTTGAACAACTTCGATATGATCAGGGAGTACAATACGTCCACTAAGCTTCAGTTTTGTGAATTCTGCCTTGACCACGTTGTTCGGAATATCGCTGAATGATTCTGCGGTTAAATTCTCGACAAAGCACATCCATCCATGATAAAAATGGTGTATGCGGTATTTCTTACGAGTTAGTATAAAATGAAACAATCATTTCCAACATTAGACAGAACATCTTCCTACCAGATTGGTCATAGTGTATGAGTAATCTCACTAATATTTAAATGCGTTGGACACAACGAACATCTCAGTTTAGTTCCTTATCAGAAGACCAGAAGTTTTTGCTTTTTATCAACAACTACTCAAATTTCTTTGCTAGATGTGAGTTTTGAGTCATTTTCACGGTAAATAGATGAATAACATGCCATTAATCGCCTACTCCTACGTTTTATATCGGCTATGAAGAACTTATTAGCTCGTGAATTTGCCGGTATCAACCATAATACTAGTTATACATCTTATTTCCTGGTATTGTAGTATTCCTCAAGAACAATATCCCTTAGTTTCTGCCTTAATGTTTCATCTGGTACGTCTTCTGTTCAGTTTAGCAATGATCAAAACCATAAAACACGTTTCATTTCAAAGTTATATAATGGCACGAACCGGTACCTCTAATGCATCTAATTGGTTATTTGTTCGTATTTGGATGTGTGCGTGCTAATACCTTTGTAAATGATTTGCAACGAAGGCTTTACTATGAGTCTATGATAGATTTGGACACAGTTATATTTCTTATGGAAGTGAATCAGATGAATGAAAGTGAGTGCAAGGAACTTGTAAAGGACGTTGTTTTGCCCATGAGAAACTTTTTGGTCAACATTTTTAGCAGAAAACGAGGCGGTTCGCGCCTAATAGATAAGAAAACTAGGGATCGTGGGTGGACCGATGACGAAGACGAGTCCGATGAGACCAGGGGAAAAACGGAATTGGATACAAAGGATATCCAAACCATTAAAAACAATTTTAAGAACAACGAGAAGAATAAAAAGGGAAAGAAAAACGACGACGGCATGGACTTGGGTGAAACTCTAATGGACATACTGAGAGCAACATCAAACTTCTCACTGAACGTAAAGACTAAATATGGCAAAATAGACAAGAGCTTAGAAAAAAGAAATAAGCTCTTTGAGTTCGATCGATCACAGATAGCAAAATCCTTGTTTAATACCTCACATCAGAAGCTCCTGAAGGATGTTGAAACGTTCCTTCGCGAAAGTTCGGCAAGCGGTACGAATCCCAAAAAAGATGGCATTCGCACGTTTCTTAGCATCAAAGACGCGAATAAAAAGGATACGAAGTACTTTCAAATGATAGAGACCATTGAAAAGGCTGTTACGGAGACAGAAAACATTGTGAAGATAAAGCAGCGCGAGGAAAACGAATTTACGCTCGTTTTCGGGCAGCAGATGAAACAGGAGGAGGTTAGAGTGCTTAAAATGTCGTTTAACTTGGGCTCAACGTTTCTCACTCCCAGCATATACCTGAGCACTTCCAAGGCGTTAATGATACCCGAAAAAAGCGTGTTCATAGAGAAAATGACCAATGCCATGCTCAAACCGATACTTACACTGACAAACACGAACTCAATCGGAGCCGATACGGAGAAGAAAGAGAGCATACTGAACTTTCTGCGAGATGTTGTGTCACGGGCATCATCAAAGTACACGGACGAAATAGATGGTGCCTTCAAGGCACGGAGTACGATATTAGACAAGTTCTTGCGCGATGATAAGGACGAGGTGAAGGAGCGAAAGATGATGCAGATAGACACGGTTCTTGAGAAAAGAAACAAAGAACTGCTGGGCAAAGTGGAATCTATGAGAGCAGAGCACTTCAAGGACTTTCTTGTTCTCAACCAGGAGATAATCAATGTTTATATTCGGTTTTTAAATTCAAACAGTGCAAGTGATAGATCAAAAGTCAACGAATATTTCAAGTAAATAGACAAATTCTTCGTTTTGCCACCAAATTTCTGTTACACTGCTGGCTGAGCTGCCACTAAAAAGGACATTTTGTGCGGCTTGACAGCGATTTTGGTGGCAGAACTGTCTATGGACAGCTGTAGAAAGAAGGATGTGACTGTTAATCTGCAGGTGTTCCAACTTGGCAGTGCCTAATTGCTGGAATGAACTTAAGCGTAGAAATAGGCAGCTATATATTGATTCTTTCATTAAAAGCATGTTTATTTATTTTCTTAACACTTTCAAATATTTCTCTTCCAGTAATTCGCAGATGATACGCCCGCTTTCCACGGTTCTTAAACATTTTAAAAATTTTTACCCTGAGCAGATGACAAAGGGCACGAGCAGCTTCGGTAAGAAAAACAAGCACAACCATACGTTCTGTATACGATGCGGTAAGACAAGTTTCAACAAGCAGAAGCGTACTTGCTCAGCGTGTGCATATCCGGCGCCCAAGTGGAAGCGACCAGCAGGTTACAAGGCTAAGCAGCGGAAGAACGTCAACATACGCAATAGGCACATGAAGAGATCGTTGAAGTCGGCCAGGTCTGGATTTAAGGGAGATCCCGTTATGAAGGCAATTCTAAGCAAATATGAAGTTAAAAATTAAAAGAATTTATTGATAACGCGTGTTGCGCAGGTTTTATGTTTTAGATGTGTGCACTGGTCAGCTTTAAGGTGCTTATTGTCACCCTTTGATGTTTATGTGTGCCTCTGTTGCATATGTCCTTTGTTGCGAAGAGGATGCTCGTTTGCATGTACCTATGTTTAGCCCAGTCACGTGATCAGGTCTAATTTGGTTCTTACCGGTCGAGCAGCACATCATTGAACATGTTCAATTACCTACTAGAGAAGTGACGGAGTGCCTGCCACCCTCCGAGATGAGCCATACATATTTGATCGTGTATCTAATGTTGAACCGTGTGAATATCATTTCTTATCCTGCGAGTCATCAATACCGATTCTTGTAGAGAACAGCATTCTGGATTGTTATGAAATGCTATTCCATGTTACGGTGTAAATCGTGAAGAATGCAGTGCTGATTTAACCGAACATTCGTATTTATGATATTTCTATCGGCCACAACAGCAGCGCATCACTGGTCTAAAGCCTTTCACAAATATTTTATATTATCAGAAATATTCATTTTTAGCGTATGTTCTTTAAACACCTGTAATGTTCTGCTAGAGAGTGCGTATCATTCTTGTGCAACGCATGCCCATAAAATGCCGTTCTTTCTTAAAATTTTGTTTATCATGCTATATCAGCACGCAAACAAACTTTCCGAATGCACACTCTTAACACGGCCCAATGATGTTTGAACCAACGATGCGGAATGTTTTACACGGTTTTAAAACGTGGTGGCCGCAAAAATAAAATACAATTCCTGATATCAGGGTATACCAAAATCTTTTTCAGCCCAACAATTAATTCATTCCGTCTTACAGGTTATATTTGTAACTGGTGATATTTCCTGAAATAGACCGTATATCAAACGATGGGTGTTTTATTCGGCTGATATTTCTTTGCCTTTTATGTTTCATTATATTGTTACTCATCTCAGCGTAGTACATTAGAACATGCCTAACCATGATTTCTTAGCGGTAAAGCACGTTTTTAGCATTTTTATGAAGAATGTGGTGCTAAAACCATCAATTATTTTTATTTGTCTTGCCGGCAGTTTTCTGCTGCAATATTTGTCCTCATATAGCACCTTCCACATTGGTTGTCTCATAACATTTCGGTGCTGATATGCTGGTAACACCATAAAATATGTTTGTTGAACGCATTTCCTCTCTTTATTACTCGTTACAGCCGCAATTCCTGTTTCTGTGCCAATAGCAATATTTTTGGTACAAACGTGCGATCCAAACAAAATCAGAACAATGTTTTGATCAATGAAAAATTTGGTAACAACGCGTTTCACCTTCATTTTCCTTAAATAAAAAATTTGTTTGTTTACCCCATGGAAGTCCTCATCATCTACATCTACAATTTCTTGACAACAAGGAAGTGGTTCATTTTTGTGTTCTTCTGCCTTGCCGAGACACTTATATTCAAGAAGTACACCAATGAAGACCTGAAGGATGATCCGTTCAAAATCATAGAGCTGGGGGCCAGCAAGACCCTGTTTTACAGGGTGTCCAACGAAAAGGCAAGGGCAAACTACATGCAGCTACACATACCGTTCATCGTCGAGAAGCTCTTTCATCTCGAGCACGACATCGAATACACGTCAGGCTCGGTTAAGTACGTGATCAGACCATTCAAGGAGATTTTCATGGTCAAGGATGGCAAGAAGACATTTATCGGCAGATTTGCACACAGTTTCATAGACAATGAGAGTTATTGCCAGGTGTTTGAGAAGGGAGACAGGTGTGGGTTCAATAAAAATGTGCGCTGGTCTGCTCGTGTGCAGTTTTCCGGCAGTGTTGACAAGCTGCGGGTTGTTAGGCTGATCGAGGGGAATCTCTGTAACTATGAAATTAGGGTGGTTGGCGACATTCTGACACGTAAGATAACGAACAAGGACACAATTGTGTACAAGGGGAACAAAGAGGGGGAAGAAGATGGTAGCGCGAATGACGAGGATGAGAAGGAGGAAGCAATGCATTTCAAGGCGTTTAAGATGAAGCTCTTAGGCAGCGGCTCCTCGCATCAATAAATGAAGTAATGTGGTTTGCTGCACTTGTCGTGTGTTTTATGACTATACCTGTTATATCACGAGGTGCTGCGATATTATGTGTGGAAAGATGCGATTATTGATCAGAAATTGATATAGAAAGACTGTGGGCGTACTTAGACACTCATCAAGGCACCTAAGTTGGTATTAAAGTGCAGTTACATCACTATACGATTGTTTTATCGGGCATTTTGAACATGACGTACATCAAATTATCACAGTTGGTTAGATTTTATGTTTCAACCATGAATTGTTGGCGTATTGTAACGAGCTAGGCATTGTGAGTAGAGAACGTTGCTGTGCTCCAATCCTGCGCAACATGCCATCTGTTGTGCAACGATGTTGGTATGGAATGCGGTATAAAGGACAGGTTTAATGAATTTGTTCTGTTCTTACGACTTGCATGTCAACAACAAAGACACGCTCTTTACCCATGCACTACCATCCGTGCAATTGTGCGCATTACGTACCGTTTCTTCCTCTTTCAGGTGTCATGAAATTTACCACGTTGGTCTCAACGGTGATAAAACGTTTCTCAGCTCAAAAAATGGCAGCCAATACAATTTTTGGTACCGGATTTACGGCCCGTTCATTTTGAATGTTCTTAACGGTTCAACCGCTTGTGCGTGTCTAACGCCCTAGCTCCGAAAAGCAAAGGTAGTCCAGTTCTACGCGGTATATGAACAAGAACCTTACGATGAATGTGCTGCACGCACATTTTTATGGCAGGGATGGTTTAAAAATATGATTAGGGACTTTCTCCGTAATAGCACGCCTGTTAACACCGGAAAAGCATTTTCAGTTGGGCAAGGGGAAACAAAAAGTGAGTTGTAAACCACGCGTTTTGTGTGTTTAAGTTATCATCCCTCCATCTAACACTAATTAAAGCATTTTCTCTGGTAATAATGTACATTCCTTGTTCTTGTTACAAACATGTGAAAGATCAGTTCCTAGTACTTTGGGATTGCAAGCGTGTAATGAGGTAATATTTGCACTGTTGACATTCCTTGCCAAGAAATACCTCCCCATGTCAACATAAGCAACCATTTGTCCATAATAATCTCAAACTGTAAAACACCGGTATATCACGTGTCGTGCTTTTTTTAAACAGACAAGCACCGCAAAAGTCATTCTACGAGGAAATGACCAACAAAGCATTTTTGGTAAAACATGATCAGGCGAATTAATTAATTTTTAATTTTTTTAATTTTACCTTTAATGGCAACCCTAAGGGCAAAATATTGAATAAAGATTAATAACACGGCTTAGAAGTATTTGCCCATATTCTTTTGATGGATTAGCGAACATTAAATTGGTGATTGGATTCTACAGTCTGATAGTACCGTTTTACCGTAGCATTGGTCAATGCTTTTTTTGTTAGTGTCTACCTAAGATGAACCAAGTTGGGTGCAAACACGGATTGTAGGTGTATTTAGGGTATGTCGGTACTATCAGTATTGCCTGCACTGCCGTGCAGGCAATACAGCTATATGCAATTACCAGGTACCAAATTTGGAAACTGTTTAAAGACGCTGTCTCGAAAGGGTATCGGTATCTATTATCAGTGCGATTGATCGGTTAGAACTTGCCCTGCCGGTCAATCGTACGATATAAACCTGCAAAAGACAGAACTGTTTACCATCTCGGCGAGATGAACAGTGATCCAATAAAAACGTATTAAAACTGTTCACTGATTGTTACTGCATTCGCTTATTTACGTGATGGCATCAATAAGAATTCATCTCTTCGCCCTACACCAATAACACCTCGTTTTATCACCAGGGATAAATTAAATTGCTGCTAACCGTCTCCAAAGGATTCTTTGTTTATAAATAAGCTGGACAAGCCCTCCCTATGTTTGACAGAAATGGACAGAACCATCAACGCATCAGAAAAAAACTGGAGGCTTTCAGAAATGCTAAGGAATGGTCAGATTTTATATCTTTGCTCACCGCTGTCGACAATGTCTTGATCGATGTTAAAAGTTTGCCCAAGGACTTAGAGGGCTTTCTGTTCAGGCGGCTCAACCAGTCGTTGAATCCTGCACTGCCGGCAGGCGTGCACAACAAGGCTCTTGAAACGTACAAGCTGATAATTGCGAACATAAAACTTACAGACCGTCTGTTACTCGGCCTTTTCTCGTACGGAGTGTATTCTAAGTTATCCGTCAAGGATACGTTTTTTGAAGTTCTGGCGAATCTAAACGACCGAAAAGTGGGTCAAAAAAGTTTTATACTGGGGCTGTTACCATTCGTTGAGGAGGAGAACAACGAGTACTTTGATCGTGCGTGTATTATGATCGACAATGTGAACTGCTCGGATGCCCTGTGGTCAAATTTTCTGTGCTGTCCTGAGCTGCGCATCGCGGTGGTAAACTATTTTAAGGGACGGCAGGCGGCAATTAGCAGTTTCCAGATCAGAGCGATTAGCAAAGCGCTGTACGACGGCGATTCTTTTACCGTTAGAGGCACGCTTGACATGCTGAATGCCAACGTTAAGCTTGGTGATTTGGTACGGTTCTACAACCCTGAAGTGACCGAATTTGTGGAAGTTACGGAAGAGCAGATTGCAAATGACAAGAACACGCGGGTATCGGACACTGTGACAGGCAGAGAGGCGAGCACAACCGTGATGATCACAGAGACAACAGCTGTCGAAGGTGCAAAGAACCAAGAGGTGCACAAAAAAATAAAAGTGGAGGATGCATATCTTAAAGACGAGATAGTGAGCTTATCAGTGCATATAATCAAGCTGTTCCTCAAGAAAGAGATAACATTGAACAAAAAGGTGAATGCCTGGTTGCAGAACGAGACCATTCTTGCGAAAAAGGCGCTTCGTAAGATTATGAACGATGATTTGAACCTTTTCTACAAGTTGTTTCAGAATTTGATCGTGCAGGAGGAGCTAAACGACAAAGATATTGCAGAATTGTTCATTGAGGCGGCGTATAAGACCCAAACCGAGTGTCAGGGCTTTGATATTGTGCTGACATTGCTTGAGAGCAGCTTTTTATGGAAGATACTTTATGTGGAATTTAAGCGTATTATTGGGAAGGAAAAGGGGAATAATCAGTTCAGGGCAAAGACCGAAAAGAATGAAACAGCAAGTGGGCTGGGGAATAGAGCAGAAAATGAGATGAGGAGCGGTGTAAGGGATGAAATAAAGAATGAGATGAGGAGCGGTGTAAAAGGTGAAGTAAAGAATGAGATGAGGAGCGGTGTAAGGGATGAAATAAAGAATGAGATGAGGAGCGGTGTAAGGGATGAAATAAAGAATGAGATGAGGAGCGGTGTAAAAGGTGAAAT